CGTCGTATTAATAATAATAATAATAATAATAATAATAATAATAAAATTTTATTATACTTTTAATTAAATGAAATAATAATAATAATAATAATCAATCGATCACAATTTAATTTTATTATTGTAATAAAAAATTTCCACGTTTTTTCTCCCGCGACCGACTGACCGAACGTATTCCAATTTATTATTATTAATAATTTCATTTTCCATTTTTCCCATTTCCGGTTAGTTACACGTTTATCATTCATCCAAACCGTTATAATCTTAAACCGTTTCCTGTAAAAAAATAAAATCAAAATCAAAAAAAAAAAAAAAAAAAAAAAAAAAAAAAGAATTTAAAAGAACTTTCTGGCTGGTGGGGTATCAATCATTCAATTTAAAAAATAAAATTTTAAAAAATTATAAAATAATATTTTCCTTTTAATTAATTTCTTTCCCACCTGACGTTTAATTTATTATTATTATTATTATTTTCAAACGGTTTCATCAAAGGAAAAAAAAAGTACGAATATTCGTTAAATTAAAAAAAAAAAAAAAAAAACGTTAATGAATAAAATTAATTTTTAAAACTTCTTCTTTTATATTTTATTTTTTTATTTTTGTTTATTATTAAGAGTATCGACAAACCGGAAATCGATTTTTTATATCGAATCGATCGATAATTAACGATCGATAACCAAAAAGAAAACAAAAAGGAAAATAAAATTTTAATAAAAAGACAAAAAAATAAAAAAAAAATTTTTTTTCTTTTTGCATTACTTTCGTGTACTAAAAAATGCATAACGATAAAAATTGCAGGCGTTTAGAAAACAACAAAAATCCCTCGATTTATTTATAATTGGTAATAATAATAATAGTTTAAAAAAAAAAAAAAACTTAAAGATAAAAACTCACCCGACCGTGGCACCAGAATGGGGATTTTACATAACCACAGCCTTCTTTAAAAAAAAAAAAAACACATTTTTTTTTGTTTTTGTTTTTTTTAATAAACGTACGAATAAAGTTATGATAATGATAATAATACAACCCGACCACCCAGGCCCGAGAATCCAACCTGTGAGACATTTAACATAACCATCACAAGTTAGGGTCTCAGGGAATGGGGAGCCGGGGTAATTTTGTTCCTTTTTTCATTTTTCTTTTTTTTTTTTTCGTTTTTGTTTATTTGGGGAGATACCTGAACGTGTTTTTTTATTTTATTGAAATTTTATCCTTTTGATATTACTCACCTCACCCCGGCTCCCCAAATGTTGTTTTTTTTTTTTTTTTTTTTTTAAATTTAAATTATAAACTGGGAAAAATTATTTTAATAATAATAATAATTATACGAATGCATATATCATCCATCGTAAAAAAAAAAAAAAAAAAAAAAAACTCACCGAATCTTTTTCTAAGCCGCCATTTTGTTTTTTTTTTCTTTTTCATCCCTTCCACCTCGACGTGTAAAGATCGTCGATCGATGCCTGAAATATTCTTTAAAAAAAAAAAATTCTAGTTAAGGTCTTTGGCAAACAACAACAACAAACAACAACCAAAAAAAAAATTAAAAAAAAAAAACTTTTCGGATTCGATTTACAAATTCACTGCTAAAGATTAAAAAAAAAAAAAATTTTATAATTGAAAACCAGTAGCGTGTCAAGAATATTCACGCACGGTGAGGGGTGAGGGTGGGGAGAAGGGGAAATCAATTTGTTTTTATTTTAATTACTTACCCCTTAAAAACGTGCCTTCCTTTTTCTACATTATTAATTTTTTTTTTTCGACGTGGATAAAGACAAATCGTAATTTAGCGACACGATCAATTCATTTTATATCATCATTTTCATCATCATCGATTGTTTTTAATTTTTGTTTTATTTATCAATTTTATAAATTTTTTTTTTTTGTACCTGAAATTATTTATACAAAAATATAAATGCTTTGAAAATTAATTTTAAACGAATCATAAGTCCGCCATTTTTTTTGTTTTAAATATAAATTTAAAAATGGCGGGAAAATTTTTTTTTTCGAAAAAAAACAAAACAATAGTGCAAAAATGTCATGCGTGTGTGTGTGTGTATGTGAAGGTATATCAAATTGCAGGTACAAACCAACCGATACCAGGGAAAGTTAGCAGATTGTACAGTACCTCCAAATGATGTAATTCTTTACTATACAGTCTACTACCTCACCCTGCTACGGTCCTGTTAAAACGAGACCATCCGACGTCTCAAATATCCCAATTCGGAAAATTCCACGAATACGCCGACGATTGCAAAAAACTTTTTACAAAAAAAAAAAAAAAAAAAAAAAAAAAAGAAATTCTTTGCAAAAAAAAAAAAAAACGCAGAACTAATAATAATAATGATAATAATAATTTCTGACGGTGAAATTTCTCTTCCTTCCTTTTCTCATTCTTCGACGATTAAAAAACTTTTCGGCTGATACCTGCAGAGGCGACCTTGTGAATATCATAACGTAAAAAAAACACAAGTTCGGATCTACGGGTAAGAGCAAAAAAGTAACAGAAAACAAAAAACTGCGTTTATGTAACGGACGATGTGAAAGACAAAGAGAGAGAAAGAGAGAGAGAGAGAAAAGGCAGATAAATAGGTAGAGAGTAAGAGAGAGAGAAAAGAAAGAAAGAAAAAATAGATAGATAAATAGGTATAGAAAGAGAGAGAAAGAAAAGACAGATAAATAGGTAGGTATAGAGAGGGAGAGAGAAAGAGAGAGACCTAAAATATATCGATGGGGATGCTACCTGTTTTAATTTTCATCCCCGACTTTTGATATCAAGTGTTTACGTCATGAAATACCTGAATAAAAAAGGTTGCAAAAAAATTCTTCGATTTAACATCATCATCATCCACGTCGAAAAAATTCTTTTTCCACTTTTTGACATTAGCAGAAGATATCTCGAACCGCCATCTGAAAAATTAAAAAAAAAAACGATTAAAAAAAATTTTTTATAAGGTCGTCCCCGTCGGTAATAGTAAGTATCGACTTACTTACACGTCATATAACAACGGCTAGACAAAATATAAATCGTCGTGTAATTAGAAAACGTTTAAATCGCGTGTGTCTCTTTCTCAACGACGATTTTAATATTCGCATATTTTCTTTCGTTTCCAAAAACATTCCTTCCCCCTTCCCCCCACCATCGTCGTCGTGTAATCAAATAAAACAAACAAACAACAAAAAAATGTCGCAAGTGTAAGAATTCGACAAATTAATGTCGTCGTACTTATATCATCATTATCATCATCAACAATGTAAACAAATAATTTCAAAACGCCCTCATAATAAAAAAAAAAAAAAAACTTATTGACAGGTAACTAACTAACTAACTAACCCACATTTGTTAAATTGTATTGGACAAAAAATAACAACAACAACAACAAACGATAAATCATTTCGGTCAGTCTTACCACCACCCTCGAACCCTTATGTGTCTACCACCACCCTTATAAAGAAAAGAACCAAAAAAAAAAAAAAAGTCAAGGGGATGTATAATGAACCGTTAAAACGTAATCCACGTAAATATGTATACAAACAACAATAAAAAGAAACGTGGAAATAAATAAAGAAAAAATTTTTACAAAAGAATAATAATAATAATAATAATCGATTCAACAGTTGGCTAACTGGTTGGGTGGTGTGGATGGATGGCTACCTGTCTGTCTGTACAATCGGGTCCTACCTAAATACCTAACAAATAATTTGTCAATGATGTTTTTCTTTATTCTTTTGTTCGTTTGGGGGGTGGGGGGAGGGTAAATTATCAATAAAAAAAATGTCAATCACTAAGAGGGTGGTCGATCGGTCGGCACTTGTCGCACACAATTTAAAACCCATCAATGTTTTCCTTTTCTTTTTATTCTTCTTCTGCCACGACCGTAAGTTATTCATTTATCATTTTTTTTTTAAATACGGGGATAAAATTTAAATAATTTTTAATCAACAAATAAATAAATAAAACGATTTCAAATTTAAAAAAAAAAAAGTGGCAGAAGACAATTATTATTATTTGAATTTTTTTTCTTTTTTTTGATAAAACCGTTAAATTTAAAACGCAATACGATATTTAAAAAAAAAAAATCGTGTGCAGGTGAAAAAGAATAAGAAAAAGAGAGAGAAGAATAACCAGGTACAAAAATAATCGTGACATTAGAAAAACCTCGTTGTTGTTGTTGTTGTTACGTCACAACAAACAAACTCCCTTTATATTAAATATTATTTCCAACGTATTCACCCTCGCTAATAATGGTTGCGAGTTCATTTTTTTTTTCTTATTCTCTTACTCTTCCCTTCCCTCCCCCTCTCTCTCTCTCAACATCTTAACCCCTTTCCACCTCTTTCTCCCCTCGAAAAAAAAATTTTTTTAAGTCGGGGGGTAACCGCACGTGAAAGCCAACAACGTCATCCACATTTCGAAAAGATAAAATCGCAAGATAGACGACGACGACGACGACGACGACGAAATTTAATATATATTTTTAAAAGCAGACGATAAATTTTTGTTTTATTTTGTTTTTTTACTCTATGGATTCGAACGTTCAAACACGCGCACGCGCAACCGGGGGAAAAACATTTTCACGGTGTAAACAATTGATAGTTACGTAAATTTTTTACGAGTGGCGAATCGCGTCCGACATTTTTTTTTTTGCGCGCGCGCGGGAAAAAATTTTAATTTGAATTTATCGGAACGTGAAAATAAAAATAATAAAAAAAAAAAAAAAAAAAAGTATAAAAATAAAAATATTAAAAAAGTTCGTTGGCCAAACATAAAAATTATGATTTAATGTTCTTATACTAGGAAAAAGGTTGTTCGAAGCAGACGAAATGCTTTCAGGTAACAAAACAAAACAAAAAAAAAAGGACGAGTTAAAAACCATTAAGAAACAATCATTGAAACGAATTGGGGAGGAATCATCATTAAATGTAACAAAGGTGCAACAACCGTTTACTATTTCTTTCCTTTTTTTCCTACATGTTAAATTTATGTTGCATCCGTCGTAAAAAAAAAAAAAAAATGTTACAACAACCTACGAACCTTTACCCGTTTAATAATGGTGGTGACGAACAACCAAAATAATAATAATAATAATAATAAGGTTTTGGATGCCGTTGTAAATGATTCAAGGTCGTCGGACGATATCATTATAATCGAGTTTGCATGAAACGCATGACTGCCGTAGCCATCTTGTTAGCAAGGTCAAAGTCCTTTTCGCCCTCGCTTTACTTTCTCAACATTTTTCTTTTTTTCTATCGACACGACTCTTGCGAATATAATACACTAATTCAATCGTTTCATCTTTGTTTACGTCTCTCCCTCTCTCTCTTTCTCACACACTCGCGGCAACTTCAACAGATTTTACCGTTTCGGATCGAAATCGAGTACAATCTACTGACACGGTAACCAACCCTTTAGCAAACCAACCATTTTACGAATTTTTCGTTTTAAAGTTTTGTTTATTTGTATTTCTAATTACACGACAACTCTCACGAAACCTTTATATATAGAAAAATTATTTTTTTTCCGTTGAAAATTACGTCGGTTTCCGCGACACGTCGTGGCAGGTGTTTCATACGAAACTTAACGCACTCCCCCCCTGTTCCTCATCCCTTTCCTCCCCCTCTTCAATTTACCCCGGAATCAATTTAATTTATATACGTACGCATACATTTTTTTTGTTAAATTCGTTAACGTTGGGGGTTGTTTATGTTCAACGAAAGGAACCGACAGGAAATTAAAAAAAAAAAAAAATTTTTTTAAGCTCCCGATACCGTAAAAAACAAATTCTTTAATTACACGTCTATTTTTGTTTATATAACAATCACAGCCTTCTATTAAAAATAAACGTTATTCGTTCGAAAAAAATAAAAATGGCGTCCTCATCAATTTCTAACTAGTAAAAGTTAAATAAATACTAAGATTATATAAATATATAACGTTGTGAAAAAAACATTAAAAAATCATTTCGACGTGGAATCAACGACGACGACGACGACGACGATGACGACACGTCCTTAAAAATACGTTGTTTGTTTATGTAAATAAATGATAAATTTTTTTCTTTTTTTTTTTTTTTTTCATTGAAATCGAATGTAACGGAAAAATTAATTCCGTTTTTTAACAACAGACTACCGCAATAATTTTTTTATTCGGATCTATTTACACGAACTTTTATTTCGATTAAAAATTTAAAATTCATCAAAAAAATAATATTATTATTATCGTCATAGTCGTCGTCGTCGTCATATTCATCATCATCATCATTATTATTATTATTCTCGATAACGTGGGTCAATTTTTTTTTATATTGGGGAGAAAAAATAAGAAGAAGAAGAAGAGGAGGAAAAAAAAGGTCTCGAAAAATCCTAGACAGACGCGATGTTGTCACGTTTCCGCATTCTGTTAAATGTAGGTTTCTTTTTTTTTTTTTTTTTTTCGTTTTCTAAAGAAGAGACTATGTTTTTTCTCTCTCTGTCTGCCTGTCTGTCTCTCTCTCTCTCTCTCATTATTAATATTTCATAAACGTAAACACTTAAAATTCAAACGCGACAAGACAAAACTGGTTTTTGTTGTATTATCGTTACACGTTTGTCGTACAACTGTCAAAATTTACCCGCCAAAATTTAAAAAAAAACGTTAAGCATTGACGTCATACTTTTAATAAGGAAATTTTGTGTTATTATTATTATTTTAACGATGACGTATTAGGTAGTACACGTAAACCTCCGAACATGATAATTTATTTACACGTTTATTTGTAAACAAATGTATTAATTTGACGTATTCTTCCGCCACGTGGATTTTGTATACACGACAACAACAACCCTCCACCATTAACCCTCATGAATATATTCGTTTTTAAAAAAAGGCGGAAAATCGAAATTAATAATAATAATAATAATAATAATAATTATAACGATGACGATGATAATGATGATAACGATAGGTACGTAATACGAAAGAAAAAAGAAAAAAAAAAGGTACAGTTATAAAAGTGACGTAAAAAAAAACGAAAACAAAAAAAGAACACTTATAACCGTATAAGAGAATGTGGATATATATATTCTTCTGCCACGTGAATTTTGCTAACCTCAAATCAAACGAGATGAAAAAAAAATAAAATAAAAATTCTTTTTCTCCCCCCTCCCTCCCTTTTTTTTACGACTTTTTATAGTTTCTAACCGTTCTTTTTTATTTTTTCTTCTGCTTTTACCTGTTGATCGTTAATTTAAAATATATATTAATATTTTTGACAGAATTTTATTTTTTTCTAATTCCCCGTCACATTCATTCACCGTTGCCGTCGACGCCGCCACTTTACCCTTCTCGCGATTTTCGGTTTCTTAATCGCGTCGTTTTTCACGCATTTTTTGAAATTTTTCCGGGGGGATCCCGGAATTTTGTCGACTTAAAAAAAAAAAATTAAAATTTAAAAAGAGTTGTTGAATGAAGACGGATTCTTCAAAGAAGAAAGAATGAGAGAGAGAGAGAGAGAGAGAGAGAGA